TCCCCATTTAAAAAATCTTCAAATTCTTTTTTAACCTACCTCCCCACACCAAAACACTTGCAACATCTGCCACATTTCCCCCCTTCCACCCTGTCATACCCCTTTTCCAAATCCAAAAAATCCCCCAAAGACCCCCTTTTGCCTTATATAAATACTTTCACTTTAAGTTTTTTCCCGTAAACAAACCCGGTCCACACACCCCTACCTTTCCCCAAAGCCTCCCTTTTTCATCTGCTATCCTATTCCCTCTTTTTTTTAATTTTTTCAATTTTAAAAATTACCTTTCAAATTTACCAGGGATAACCCAACAGACTTACCCCCTATAATTTTTTGCACTCTCTTTTTTTCCCCTTTGGGCCCTTTTTTCAAAAAGGAAATATGCAAGCTCTCTCCCAATTTCCCAGGTACCTTTTCCCCCCTTCCCCAAAATTTATTTAAAAAATTTTCAAACCCAACCACTCCAAAACTATATCCCCACCTGCTTTTAACATTTCTATCTTTATCCCATCAATCCCGGCTGCCTTACCCCCTTTCATTTTACCTACTTCCCCCACACTCACAACTGGCTCTTCCTCACTCCTACAAGATGTTATTCCTCCTTGCCCTATACACGAAATCACAGCTTCCCTATCTTCATCAACATTTAACAATTCCTCGAAATATTCCCTCCATCTTCCCAATACCTCTAACTCTCCATTTAATAACTCTGCTCTCCTATTTTTAACTGACAAATCCATTTGTTCTCTAGGTTTTCTTAACTTGTTAATCTCACTCCAAAACTTTTTCTTATTTTCAACAAAATTTGTTGATAACATCTCACCCACTCTCTCATTTGCTCTCTTTCTACATTGCTTCACCACTCTCTTAATGATACAATTAGTAGTACAGTGGACCCTAAGATAACGATATTAATTCGTTCCTGAAAGCTCATCGTTAGCTGAATTAATTTTCCCCATAAGAAATAATGGAAATCAAATTAATCCGTGCAAGACACCCCAAAGTATGAAAAAAAAAAATTACCACATGAAATATTTATTTTAATACACGCAAACTGACACTTACCTTTATTGAAGATCTGGTGATGATTGATGGGATGGGAGGAGTGGAGAGTGTGGAAGTTGTTAATGTTTAGAAGGGGAATCCCCTTCCATTAGGACTTGAGGTATCAAGTCCTTTTCTGGAGTTACTTCCCTTCTTCTTTTAATGCCGCTAGGACCAGCTTGAGAGTCACTGGACCTCTGTCGCACAACAAATCTGTGTATAGAGGTCTGTACCTCCCGTTCCTTTAAGATTTGCCTAAAATGGGCCACAACATTGTCATTGTAATAGTCACCAGCATGGCTTGCAATAGCTGTGTTAGGGTGATTTTCATCCATAAAGGTTTGTAGTTCAACCCACTTTGCACACATTTCCTTAATCTTTGAAGTAGGCACAATGGATTCCACAACTGGCATAGGCATCTCAGGGTTAGCCCCAAACCCTTCAAAATCTTTCTTAATTTCCATACTAATTCTCACCCTTTTTATCACAGGGTTGGCACTAGAAGCTTTCTTGGGGCCCATGGTGACTTATTTTGCAGGGACAATCACTAAAAATGCTGTGATAATATGAAATGTTCTGATTGTATGTGTGGATGTGACCGCACTGGCTGGCTTGTAAACACTGGCACCCATGGGACAACTGAGGCGCGCTCAGGCCACACGTGGACGTGTCTCGAACGAATCGCGTTGGGTGAGTTTTTTTTAGCATTAGCCGAGGCAAAATTTTTGCATTAAAATGTATCGTTAGCTGGCTTTAACGTTAGCTGATGCCATCGTTAGCTGAGGGGCCAATGTACATTAATAAAAATTTAAATAAAGATATAAAATAACCTTTTTACTTACCTTTATTGAAGATTGTTGATGGCATCTGAAAAATAGGGAGGAGGAATGAGGGAGCACTTATTGTTTAGAAGGGGAATCCCCTTCCATGAAGACTTTAGGTAACAAGTCCTTTTCTGGGGGTTACTTCCCTTCTTTGTCTTTAATGCCACTAGGACCAGCTTGAGAGTCACTGGACCCCTGTTGCACAAAATAACTGTCCACAGTCCTCTGTTTCTGGCACCTCTTTAAGATTTCCCTGAAGTGGGACAAGGTTTTATCACTGAACATGTTGCAGATATGGCTCGTTTCAGCTTGGTCAGGGTGATACTTTTCAACAAAAGTTTGCAACTCATTCCACTTTGCACACATGTCCTTAATCACTGAAGAACGCACTTCCTTCACTCCATCTTCCTCCTCCTCTGAAGCAAGTTCCTGAGCTGTGGTCAGATACTGTTCCAGATGAAGCTCTTCCAGCTCTTCAGTGGTTAGCTCTTCCCTGTGGTCCTCCTCCAACTCTTCCACATCCCTCTCACTCACCTCCAACCCCATGGACTTGCCCAATGCCACAATATCCTCCACAACAGGCAGAGGGTCGGCAGGGTCAGGGTCAGCCTCAAACCCTTCAAAAATCCCTCTTTTTGGACACAATCTGGCCACAATTGTCTCCAAGTAGAGTTCAAAGTCCTGGAAGTCACTCCCTCCCAAGCCTTATGCAGGTGTAGATACTGAAGTAATTCCTCCAGAACTCTCTTAGGGTCAGCCTAATGTTTGAGGTCACTTCAAAGCACTTTTCACACTGCTTTTGTGTAGAGTTTTTTGAAGTTAGAAATGATCTGCTGGCCCATGGGCTGGATGAGACGAGTGGTGTTAGTTGGCAAGAACTTCACTGTGATGAAATTGTAGTCCCTAGACAGTAGGTCTACCAAGTTTGGAGGATGTGCAGGAACATTGTCCAGTAATAGGAGGCACTTGAGTGGCAGATCATTTTCTAGGAGGTATTTTTTCACACTGGGGCCAAACACTTCATGGACCCACTCTTTGAAAATTTGCCTGGTGACCCATACCTTATTTGCTTTCCACAAGATACATAACTTGTCCTTAATGATATTGTTTTTCTTAAACACACTGGGATTTTCTGAGTGATGCACCAGTCAAAGCTTCACTTTAAAATCCCCACTTGAGTTAGCACAGAACAAAAGAGTTAACCTGTCTTTCATAGGCTTGCGTCCTGGGAATGCCTTTTCCTCCTGAGTAATGTAGGTCCTCTTTGGCATTTTCTTCCAAAACAGGCTTGTTTCATGACAATCGAACACTTGTTGGGGTTGGAATTTTTAACTGTCTATGTGCCCCTTAACCCTTTCAGGGTCCGTCCCGTAGATCTACGGCTTTACGTTCAGGGTCGAAACCGTAGATCTACGCCATGAGCTCAGCTCACTCTGATAAACTGTGAGTGGTACATTTGGGCCTAGATATGAGAGAATACATCTATGTGGTATGTGTGCAGCACATAAAACAGATCCTGCAGCACACTGTGTATAATGAGAGAAAAAAAATGAAATCATGATTTTTGATTAAAACAGCAACTTTGCAGTGTTTTTTCGTATGTTTTTTATAGTTGTATTTGCGATTTCTTGGTCTCATTTGATAGAATGGAAGACATATTACAGAAATAGAGATGATTTTGATTGGTTTTAGCATTGGAAATGGCTTGAAACTGAGCTCAAAGTAGCGGAAATGTTAAATTTTTGCCGATATTCAAGAGTAAACAAACGACCTCACAAGTCTAATACACGTCAGCTGGTGGGTCTAATATACATTCACAAATGTGGTGATGATATTTATACAATTATTACAGTATTGCATAACAGTAAATCTTCTATTTTTTGGTGTGAATAAAAATTCATTATGTGAATAAAAAACCAAAATGGAATTTATTTGTAAAGCCTCAAAACATAACTAATGAACAGAGGAAATGTTAGTTTAGTGCCAGGAATGCCTACATTGTTCATTCTGGACCCTATTTTGAAATTGGAATATTTTGAACTTTGTGTAAAATTGGCCAAATTAACAATTTCCGATCACTTTATTTTGTAGTTGAAACAGTTGACTTGGCGATTTCTTGTGCTCAATCGATAGAATAGAAGTAATACTAGTGAAATAGCTAAGAATTTGGTTGATTGGAATAATGTAATTGGCCTAAAATGGGAGTCAAAGTCGGCAAAATCGCCGATTCGTAAATATCGCTGACACATCAAAATTCGCGAGAGCATAATTTCGTCAATTTTCCACCAAATTTCGTACTTTTTGTTTTATTACCTTCACAAAAAGATTTTCTACGATTTCATAAGAAAAAATAACAAATTTTTTTTTTTAAAATTCTTGGACACTGGTGCGTGACTCCAGATTTGGGCCTTGGACCCTGAAAGGGTTAAATTCATGCACAAATTTTTCAGCAGCCAGTTTGTCTGAACTGGCTGCCTCATCATGCCTTACAACATTGTTTATGCCAGTACGCTTCTAAAATCTGTCAAACCAGCCTCTGCTGGCCTTAAATTCACTATCAGCACTGGTACCAGGAGTTTTCTTGACAAGATTGGCATACAACTGCCTTGCTTTTTCACAAAGAATTGTCTCAGAAATACTATCACCAGCAACAACTTCTCAACATGATCAACTGTCTGTAGTCTATTTTTGGTTACCATATTAACACCTTTCACAACATCAGCTTCCTTGATTTGTTCTTTCTTTGCCAGGATAGAAGCGATGGTTGACTTTTTCCTGTACAACCTGGCAAGGTCAACAAGTTGAACACCACTCTTGTATTTTTGTATTTCCTTCTTCACGTCTATGGTGTTTATCAGTTTCTTTACCACAGGGGTACCACTAGCAAGTTTCTTTGGTCCCATGGTAGCTTATTTCACAGTGTTCACTCAAGCATCAACAAAGCCAGACTGGCTCACGACGCCTGCATGGGGACGCGCCCAGAGAGGGCAGGCGGACAGGTCCGGTACCTGGCGGTTCGAAAGATGGGGTGCATTTGATAGTCGGGGCAAAATTGGTTCGAAAAAAGCGGTCGATACGTTCAAAACTCGGGGTTTCACTGTATTTGTAGTACTGATGGTAATTTTTTGTGTGCAGGATGAGGAGGTGGGGCTGGTGAGTGAGCTGGGTCACCTGCACGAGGTCATGACCCAGCTGGAGAAGCACACTGCTGACCCCCACGTCCTCCCACCCGCCAGCGAACAGGTACGTTAAGCCCACTTTATGCTTGCTATACTTTTTAAGCTTGGCTGAATGTGTGTGTTCTGGATTTTTGTTCGAGTTACAATTAGTTTTTTTATTAATTTGTCATGTTAGAGATGCTGTATTACTGTTTCTTAGCAACATTGTTGTTTTATTTGTTGCATGCAGGATATTGCATTTTTGTGATTGCTTTCTCTATTATAGTGTTATTACATCAAGATTTTTATTTTTAATAAAGAATTTTATACAACAGTACTAAATACTAGCTAAAAATGTACTACAGCCTATACATAACTTTTCTTATTGACTTGTTTACACTTCAGTGTACAAGCTATGATAGGTTATACTGTATCATCATAGCTTATATCAAAGCCTTGCCCTGTACAATATATTTGTACTGTACTACCAATCTTAGAATGTTACCCATAGCAATCAGTTAAAACCTGGTACATGTATATGGCACATCATATGATGTGTGACAACCAATGTAAACTAGCACATGAACATGAATATGTGCAACAGGTGGGTAAGACATGTCATACTCATCTACTTATCAGTATTGTTTACCATTAACCCCTTGACTGTCGAAACCCCTAACCCTGAAGTGTCTCCTGGCGTCGAAAATATTTGAAAAAAAAAAATATATATTTTTTCTTATGAAAATGTTAAGATTATTTTTCTGATTGTTTTAATCCAAAATAAAATTTTTGCCATCAGTACTTACCGAGATATGGAGGCGTGAAGTTGGCAGAAAATGAGCCGCATATGGCAACAGCGGCGACTGCTGCTTACCTGGTAAACTTTGGTTTACTTGTATTTGAAGGTTTCTTAGTGAAAAAACATTTTATTTTTTCATATAACTTATGTGGCCTGTGAGACCAAAGTATGGTGCAGTGTTCATATATACATTCGTTGAATGTAACAAAATTATAGCAGAAACGCTAGTATCATCATATTGTTTACAAAACCTGTTTACACAAACAATATAAAAAATTGTTTATTATGATTGTTCTATAATATATATACATATGTACAATCACTGGACACTTTCCTAGAACTGCTGCAGCTTGTGGAATTCTATGAAACATGGGTATATGCACAATGGTGTTTTACATTCCTCACACATAAAACGAGTGTCTGCATTTTTGTGGGCATTTTGTGGTATGTGCACAGACATAACACCTCTTCTGAGCATTTTTCTTGAAAGCAGTAGCAGGCAGTGGTACAGGTGTAGTGATCACCAGGCCTCAGACAAGAGGGCATGTGTTGATATTTTCGTGGGCGCTGGTCTATTGCAAGTGTTGTTCCTTGGTACTTGAATATTATTTGTCTGATAACTGACAAACAAAATTCACCATATTTGGGTTTGTTGTTGGTCTTCAGCTTATACATATTATAAGCATTCAGCATGGAAATGTCAAGAAGATGGAAAAAGAGTTTTATGTACCACTCATAACTCTTGCAAACACAATCAGCAAACCCAATCTGCATGTCACATTTGTCCATTAACTGTATATTGATGTTGTAAGCCATCACAGCTGCAGGTTTTACAATGGGTTCATTGGTCTCTCTATTCTGCTTGCTACTGTCTACCATTTCGTGTCGGTGAACTGATGTCAGCAGTGTGACATCATGTTTGTCATGCCACCGATATGCCATGATGTCATTGGCAGCAAACACCTGAGCATCACCTCTACGAGTGTCAGCGTCTAACCTGGGCATGTGTTTACGGTTTCCACGCACTGTGCCACACACATCTGTCATGTTCACTCGCAAGAAATCACTGGGTAAAGGGCTTGTGTACCATTTGTCAGTATATAAAATATGCCCCTTACCAAGATATGGTTCCATCATTGTTCTAATCACATCACCAGAGATACCCAGTAACTTCCTGGTATCTTGCAATGTTTTACTGCCAGTGTACACAATTATATCCAAAACCAGACCACTTTTGCAATCACACAGTACAAATAACTTTATACCAAAGAGTTTCCTCTTGCTTGGTATATACTGCTTGAATGATAGTCTGCCTTTGAACAAAATCAAAGAGTCATCAATAACAAGCTTCCTGAAGGGATAAAAATACATACAGCACTTTTGTTTCAGGTACATAAACACATTTCTGATCTTATATAACCTGTCATTTCTGTCAGGCCTTGTTTTGTCTGAAAAGTGTAGCATACGTAACAGTAGCACAAATCTGTTCACTGGTATAATGTCACCGAAAGCTGGGGTTGAAATCAGGCAGTCTGTCGACCAGTATGTGTTGATACTGTGCTTATACACATGTGGTAAGCATTTTTGTGGCAAAGAACAGATACATCTCTGCCACAGTTGTGTCCTTCCACTGGTGTAGGCATGATCTTGGTGAAAGAATTGTTTGCTATGGTGTACTCAAAGTATGTATTGCTTTCCCTGACAAAAATGTCCATCAGGGGTTCATTGAAGAATAACTGAAAGCATTCCAGTTCAGTAGCATTGCTCCCAAGTGTACAGGATGGCTGTATTCCACTTTGTGTGTCACCTTGCTGCCAATTCCAGATGCGGTCTGCTGGGGGGTTCTGGATATTAAAAGGTGATTGTGGATGTTGTGGGAGTGTGGGGTTGGTTGAGGCTGGTTGTGGTTGTGCTGAATTAGGAGCGTCGGTAGTAGCGTGGCCCACTGCTGGTGCCACATGACTCATGCCACCACCACTATCACCACCACCATCTGCTGCCTCACTCACATCATTCATACCCATTGTAACAATATCGTCATCTTCACTATCAGTTCATGGTGTAGGGCCACGGGATGTACTCCAAGATATACTCCTTCCCCTTGGAACAACATATGACACACTACCAGAATGCATGCTACATCGTATGTACTGCTGCTTCACTGGAGAATACAGTGGAACCTCAAATTTTGAACTTAATCCATTCCAGGAGCTAGTTCTAAATTCGAAAAGTTTGAAAGCCGAAGCAATATTTCCCGTAAGAAATAATGGAAATACAATTAATCCGTTCCATAAACCCAAAAATATTCACAAAAAAATACATTTTATAGATAGTATTACATTATAGTTTTACACACACACAACAAATATAGTGTACAATTATTAATAAATTTAACCCCTTTACTGTTGCAACACCAAATCTTGAGGTGTCTCCTGGTGTCACAAAATTTCCGAAAAAAATAAATTATTTTTTCTTATGGAATGATAGAGAATTTTTTCCTGATTGTAATGACACCAAAAGAACGAAATTTTATGGAAAACTGATGGAATTATGCTCTCGCAAAGTTAGCAACCTCGGCGATATTTACGAATCGGCGATTTCACCCACTTTGAGCCCTATTTTCGGCTAATTCCATTGCTCCAGTCAACCAAACTCATAGCTATTTCTTTAGAACTCCATTTTTCTATTGATTGAGTACAAGAAACTGCCCATTTACTGATTTCAATTACCCAATAACGTAGTCACAAATTTGCAGTTTGGCCAATTTCACAAAAATTAAAAAATATGACAATTTCAAAATAGGGTCCAGAATGAACAATGCAGACATTCCTGGTTCAAAAATAACATTTTCTTTGTTCATCAGTCATGTCTCCAGGCCCCTCTGATACTACTCTTGCTTTCTATTTTGAATTTTTATTCAAACAAAAAATAGATTTACTGTTATGCAGACTACTGCAATATTGTAATAATTGTATAAATAATGTCAGCCCATTCATGACTGCATATTAGAATGGCTAGTTGGACATTTATTGGCAAATGGCATCATTTGTTTACTTTCGAACATAGGCAAAAATCAAACATTTTCCCTACTTTGAGCTCCATTTCAAGGTTCTTTTCATAGTAAAACCAATCAAAATCATTTCTATTTCTATAATATGTTTTCCATTCTATCAAATGAGACTAAGAAAACGAGAATACAACCATAAATACTATACAAAAACAGATCACAAAGTCGGCATTTTAATAAAAAAAACGGTCAGTTTTTTTTTCTCATTATGCACTGCGTGCTGCAGAATTTTATTTATATGGTGCACATTGACCACACAGACCCATTCTCTCACATGTGGGCCTACCAGCTTTCTACTGCTTGATTTGAGGTCGCTAGAATTTGAGTATATATACGTCAATAACGATGGCTCGTAAGACGTATATATATGACCTAAACAGTCAAAGGGTTAAATAAACATATAAAATAACATTTTTACTTACCTTTATTGAAGATTAGTGATGGCATCTGGAAGATAGGGAGGAGGAGAGAGGAAGGGGAATCCCCCTCCATAAGGACTTTGGGTATCAAAGCCCTCTCTGGGGTTACTTACCTTCTGTCTTTTAATGCCACTAGGACCAGCTTGAGAGTCACTGGACCCCTGTCTCACAAAATAACTGTCCACAGTCCTTTGTTTCTGGCACCTCTTTAAAATTTTGCTAAAATGAGACATGGTTCTGTCACTGAACCTGTTGCAAAGATGGCTTGTTTCAGCTTGCTCAGGGTGGTACTTCTCCACAAACATTTGGACATCATTCCAACTTCTGTATTATTTCCTTCTTCACATCTATGGTGTTTCTCACTTTCTTTACCACAGGGGTACCACTAGCAAGTTTCGTTGGGCCCATGGTAGCTTATTTCACAGTTCCACAAGCACTGAACAATGAATTAATCGTAAAATGTTTGAATGAGACCGCAGGTTATTGTTCACTCAAGCATCAACAAAGCCAGACTGGCTCACGGCACCTGCGTGGGGACGCGGACAGAGCGGGCTGGCGGACAGGTCCGGTACCCAGCAGTTCGAAAATAGGGGCGAGTTCGATAATAAGGACAAAGTTGGTTTGAAAAATTTGGTCGAATTTCGAAGAATTCGATAAGCGATACGTTTGAAATTTGAGGTTTCAATGTATTCATCCTCACTGTCGCAACTAGAACTGCTTTCAATAGCTTTGAACTCACTATCACTATCACTGCTCACATCTGAGTCTTGTACACGGGCAAATAGTTTCCTCTTTCGTCC